ACAGACAGACAGACAGACAGACAGACAGACAGACACACAGACAGACAGACAGACACACAGACAGACACACAGACAGACAGACACACAAAACGGACAGACAGTATTTCCAATTGCCATTTTTTCTCAATGACAAAGACCAACAAATCCTCCACAATTTATTAGATTTGGAAAAGAACTGGCCAGATGTATGAATTGTCCCAGAAAAGGAAAAAAAATTAAATAGATGTTAAAGTTTAGCAGTCAAAATTAATCTCTTTGTTAATTTTTTATCTTTTTTTTTTTTTTGTCATTCGAAAATGAATAATGCTGCTAGAATTGGCAAATAATCCACCTCATAAGCAGGTGTGGAGAAAGTGAAACACTACTTAAGTAAAAGTACAAATAAACAGACAAAAATGTACCCTAGTAAAAGTAGAATTATCACATTAACATTTTTACATAAGTAAAAGTAAGTACTTGCTTTTAAACATAAAGTATTAAAAGTAAAAGTACTTTCTGAATGTATTACCTAATGGAATGGTCTACAATTTCATTAAGTGTGCATACCATATGTATATTTTCTGTAATACATTAATAGTGTTGAGCCATTTTAATGAACAATGCTGCATATAATGCATGTTTTTATTCTCTTTACACTCTGTTACACAGTTCACACTTGAACTTGTGATTCTGTGCGTCAGAGTTTCAGGGATGACCTGCAGAGTTAAATGTCATTAAGCAAAATAAGAAAGAGGAATGATTATACCTTTTAAAGTTTTTATTTAACACAAAGCAAAACCAATGTGTCATTTTAACTGCAGTAAACACATGTAAGTAAAAGTTGTCTGCCTGAACAAAAGGAGCGTTAGACACAACTAACAAAGGAATAGACTCTGATCATTTCAACTCCAGTTTGTCATCAACTCTAGTTAAAATACTGTATAGTCAACCTTGTAATGGGTCAATTGTGAACTTCCTGACACCGTTTTCAAAACTTGGACCCGAGTGTCGAGTCACTTGGAGACATTTCTTGTCTCCTACCATCAAGAACTGACACATTTTAATATTGAGGCAAAATTTTCTTGTTTAAGTTCAGAAGAAGTTGGTTTTCAAAGTTTTTTGAGTCCAGTCTGGCTCTTTTGAGAGAGAACATATGTCCTGCTGTACTGAATAGTCTTTCAGTAATCTTTCAGTAAGTATCTTCTGGCTGACTCTCTGTGGTGGAATCCATATTGGGTGTGTTAGTGGTGCTGTGGGTGTGCCCAGCTCAGTGACATATATCCTAGAATATATGTCATTGACCCAGCTCTTTTTGAAGGCAGGTCTAACGTTACCTGCCTACTTTGCAGTGATCCAATGGACCAGCTCCCCTCTCACCATTGGTTTCTTTCAAACTAACGAACAAATAAAAAAAAACGCAACGTGAATGTAACTTGTAACGCAACACATTATAGAAATGTAGCGTAGTAGAAAGTACAAATACTTAATATAAAATGTAGTGGAGTAAAACTTGAAAGTACCCATGTTTAACTCTACTTAAGTAAAGTACAGATGCATGAAAAATGTACTTAAGTACAGTAATGGAGCACTTGTACTTCGTTAAATCCCACCACTGCAAGTGATCATTTATTTTACCTGTCATTTTTTTTTTTCATTTACCCTTTATTTATCCAGGTAGTCTCATTGAGCCACGAGAACTCATTTTCAAGAGAGACCTGTTTAGGGAGCAGATGGTGGGGATTAAGGGCCTTGCTCAGGGGCCCAGGGTGGGGCGAATGAGGGTGGAGGGAGGTGTGGGTGTTTCACCTTTTCCACCCACAATTTGATGTTGACGGTACCGGGAGGTGAACCTGCGACTTTCCGATCACAAGCCCATCTTCTAACCTCTGCATCACCACTCCCCCCTTTTACCTGTCATGCGACTGATCATCAAAAATGGGTTTGTCTCTGACAGACGTAACATTCACAACCATCTTCATCTCTATATCAGTCTCATTATTTATACTTTATTATTTATACATTATTTATAGTGGCTCTCCTCAGGGATGTGTGTTGAGCCCCCTCCTGTTTACTCTGCTCACGTATGATTGTGCAGCTACCCATCCAGGCTGTCACATTGTAAAGTTTGCAGATGATACAGCGGTGGTGGGATGCATCACAAACAATGAAGAGTCCAGCTACAGGCAGGAGGTGGAACACCTGGAGAGCTGGTGCAAAGAGAATAACCTTCATATCAATGTGAAGGAGACAAAGGAGATGATTTCTTCAGAAGGAACAAACACACCTACACCCCCCTGAACATAAGAGGATCTGCGGTGGAAGTGGTCTCCAGCAACAAGTACCTGGGTGGGTGTACACATGAATGACAACCTCAGCTGGAGCAACAACACCACCAGCCTGATCAAGAAAGCTCATCAGAGAATCTACTTCCTCAGGCCACTGCGACGAGCTGGACTGAGAAGCTCAGTCCTCACCTCCTTCTACAGGTGTGCAGTGGAGAGCATCCTGTGCTCCAGCATCAACATGTAGCATGGAGGCTGCACAGCTGCAGAAAGAAAAGCTTTGCAGAGAGTGGTGAAGGCTGCACAGAAGACTGTTGGAGTCAGTCTCCCCACCATCACAGACATTTACACCTCCAGATGCAGGAAGAGGGCCACCTGCATCATGAAGGACCCCACTCACCCAGCACACACACTTTTTGCCCCACTTCCCTCATGCAGGAGGTTGTGGGGCATTAAGTGAAAAACAACTAGACTGAGGAACAGCTTCTACCCTGAGGCTGTTAGACTCATGAATCTCTAACCAGAATAATCACTGTGAACAATCACGTCATGTTGCTGCTGATCTGTTTCAATGTTGCTGCTGATCTGTTTCATGTTGATGTGTTCATGCGTGCTCATCTGCTCGCACAGACTCATGCTCATGTTCGTGCTGCTGTTCAACGTAATGTTTTTATGCTATTAGTGCTTAGTGTATTTTTAGTTGATATATTTTTTAGTTCATATCTTAAATGTTATCGTTTTTCTTTTACATTTTTATTGTTGGATGTAACTGGGACGCTGTGTACATATTTTCGTTCCACCACATGTACCACATGTGGTGGAACGACAATAAAGAATCTCTGACTCTGATTATTTACTCAGAATGAATTTACTCAGATACAGTAGTGCAAAAATCATAGTTACCTATTATTCATAGTTACTTATGATTTTGTACTATCTGACTAAATTCATTTCGGGGCAAATAATGAGGTTGTTATACGATGAAGATGGTTGTGATTGTTAGATCATATAAAATATGATGTAAAAACACTAATTTGCTGCAAAGGGAGTAGCTTTTCTGTACTTTTTGTACTGTATGTTATAAAGGATTAAACACATTTAATGGTCTTTAAATGTTTAAAGACTTCGACACTTCCAGTCACACTCACATTATATGGTCGTGGTAGAGAAGCAAGTTTTCTCAGAATAATCTTGAAGATACTGTGATGGGAGAAAAGCTGCGCAGCATCTTGTTCTTTTCAGTACAAAGCTGAATGAATGTCAGCCTCACACCCTGTTCTTCTCTCCTCATCCTCCCTCCTCAGGACGGTGGCTCAGGCGCTGAAGTTGGGCAAACCCGTGGAGCCGGAGCATTTCACCGAGGTCACGCTGTACTTCAGTGACATCGTGGGTTTCACCACCATCTCAGCTCTCAGTGAGCCCATCGAGGTGGTCGACTTACTCAACGATCTGTACAGCCTCTTTGATGCCATCATCCATCTGCACGACGTCTACAAGGTGAATGGTTTCTGTCTGTTTCTGTAACTTTTACACAAAGTGTGCCTCGTCTGTAAATCATTAATGTTTTTACTCTTCATAATATATTTTAATGTGTTCAATATTAAACAAATGTCTTTTTTTACAAGACCATAAATAAAATTTGTACAGTTAGCATGAACGTTTTAGATTATTCTGCAGGCGCTGGTGTTATATTTATTTTTCTATAGTATTTTGTGAACTATATGTCATATAAAGGTGAATTTTGCTATATTTTATAGTAAAAGAAGCCTGGTTTTACATGTGAGGAAAGATATTTGATCCTTTTTTTGGTAACACTTTACAATAAGGTACACAAAATTTGATTAACTATTAGGGTTCGCCTCAGAAACGAATCAGGAAATAATCAGTCAGAGTCAGAGACTAATGGGTAGTTAACCAGTACTTACTGGGGAACACACAGCCAAGGGCAGGTAGTGATGAATAATGATTGGTTCCTCAGTAAGTACTTGGTATGATGCTTCACTACATCAGTGAACAAAATAATAGCCTGGCAATGATTTGATATCAGTAAGTGATGGTCAGACATAGTTAAGATGACACCAGTACAAGATTATGAAACTGATAATGTCTTTCATCAATATGTTTACAAAAGAGAAAATCCAATAAAATCAGTAATCACTAGGAAACAAAGTTTTTGACAATTACGAGCTGTGACCTCACTGGTGCAGGGTTTATTCAGAACCCACATGGAGAATTTCTCCTCTGTTTCTGTGGTAACAAACCAGTAGTCCCCCTAATAAAGCTTGGCTTTGTGTTCCCCAGTAAGTACTGGTTAACTACCCATTAGCTCCTGATTCGTTCCTGAGGCGTTCCCTAGTAGTTTATTAAATTTTTTGTACCTTATTGTAAAGTCTTAACTTTTTTTGTATATTGTTGAGTCCCTTGTTTCCATTTTAAAACTAAACAGTTTCTTCTGTCAGTATTTCCTCTTTAACATTTTACCTTAAATGTTTTTTCTTATAATCCTTTTTATATAAATGAAGTGAAATTAACAAAAAACACGAAGGGAAGCAAGCTAAAAAATTGGGGTATTTTATATCCGTCGCTATTATTTAAATAAATAAGAAGTTAGGGTTTTAACAAAGTTTTGAATAAACAAATCTGTTGAATTAGTCTTTATATACTTTTTACCACAAGTTCCTCTATTAGCCCAATTTTTATGTTTTGTATTTAATTTTTAGCTACTTAGAGTTTGTTCATCCAATTGTGTTCGTATTTTTTGTGGTATTTCAGGTGGAAACCATTGGAGATGCCTACATGGTAGCCTCTGGAGTTCCCACCAGGAATGGAAATCGTCACGCAGCTGAAATGGCCAACATGTCTCTGGATATTCTCAGTTGCATAGGAACCTTCAAGGCGAGACACATGCCGGACCTGAAGATCAGGATCCGAATCGGCCTGCACTCTGGTGAGCAACATGGTCCTCCTTAGTGTGCAGTGATAACCCCCCCTCTTTATGATGGTACGTCTGAATTATAAATAATTACAGTGTGCAAACAAACCTAAGTTACTTTATCTTTAGTTATAGATAAACCAAACTTTCATGTAGTGCTTGAAAATTGGTCTTAAACAATAATTAGTTCCTCAACATGTTTTAAATCTATATTAGCTGCTTTTTACACTTGATTTCAGTCTAATTGTTGTCCTTGCTGCTTGCAAAGGGAGTGCTTCTTTATTTAACACTCCAAACTAAACCATGAATTATTCAGATATGAGAAAGGATCCAGTTGTGCTAACATAGACAACCTAAACAAGTTCAAGTATCTTTATTAGCTGCAGGGATGAAGGAGTTTTTCAGTCTGTTAGTCCTACATCTGGGCTGCAGATACCTGCGTCCAGATGGAAGCAGCCTGAACTCACCATGGAGGGGTGATCAGGATCTGCCAGAATCTGAACAAGAAACATGAATCAATGTGAAATTATATTTTCACACGTTAATGTTTTCACTCCAACAAAGTTATTCCCAAAGAGGTGTTGGTTTTAAAGCTTGTCATTTTTCTGCATGTTATGCCAAGTGTCAATAAATGTAGGAAAATGCAGAGGTAGAGGACAAGACGGGCCACATATTTAAGTATTTGCTATACATGAAGTCATTTCCTCAATAAATACAAGGGGGGAAAATGTCTGAAACCTCGACACAAGACCTGAGTGAGGACATGCCGTTTGTTAAAGCTTGACCAAAAATGATCTCTGTAGTAGAAGTACAGCAAGCTATATTAAAGGAGGAAAGAAGAAAGGCCTCAAATATGTGCAAATGAGACAAGATTCAAACTGAACTTCATTGGGAAAATATGAAGTGGGATGAAGAATCCAAGCACAACAACTCATAATTGGAAACCCCTCATTTTCACTAGGATTTGTGAAGGATTGGATCCTAATGCAGACTGATGTGAAGAGCTTGAGTTCAACTAAAAAGGGTTTTTTTTTAAACAAAGTAAAACAAAAACACTGGTGTGGAAGTAAAACCAAACTAATGAGATAACTCAGATGATCCCAAGCAAACACAAACCTTGAGGCATGGATACCAAATAATGCAGAACAGAGATTGAATAAATAGAACAAAGATAATTGGAAAGTGGAAACACCTGGGCTGATTGCAGATTGGGGACAGGTGAGGGTGGCAGACTAACTGTAAAAACACTAAGGAAGCTCACTGAGGGTAAATGAGAAAATGGCACAAGGAAGAGAAAAGAACAAAAAGCAGCTGGCCCCTGAAGAAAAACAAGCAAAAGGCCAGGAGGGTCTACTCCTGTCCTGCATGTTTTAAGTGTTCCTCTGCTCCAACACACCTGGTCTGAATCCGTTAACAAGCTTCTGCAGAGCACGAAGAGGTGATTCAACCATTGGTCTGTGTGTGTTGGAGAAGGGAATCATGTAAAGCATGCAGGATGGTGGCCCTTGAGGAGCAGGACTGGACAACCCTGGTAGTTTTACCAAATCTCACTAGAACTGTACACTTTGTTTTTACCTCATGTATTGTGTTTCCATTGATGTTTGCACATTTCAATAAATTGCTACGTCTGTTTTTCATCCAATATACAAAGAAACAACAGTTGGCTCCAAAGTTTTGTATGTGCTATGTGGTTAGTCTAAACTGTTCAGAGAGACTAGATCCAAATTTTCTTCACCACTAGTTTTCTCGTTGTCACTATTCCATAAAGATTAGGCTGGTGAGGAACTCTGGCAACAGTTGCTGTATGCTCAGTTTCCCACAACTCATCTGCTGAAGCATGTAACTCCTTCAAGGTGGTCACAGGTGTCTTGGTGGTCTCTCTCACTGTTCCCATTCTTGCACGGTTTGTGAGGATAGCCTGCTCTTGGTAGATTTACACGTGTCCCATATTCCTTCCATTTCTTACTGATGGATTTAACACGGGGTGTCTAATCCTGGTCCTTGAGGGCCACTATCCTGCATGTTTAAGATGTTTCCCTGCTCCAACACACCTGATTTGAATCAACAGGCTTCTGCAGAATATGAAGAGGCGATTCAGTAAATGAATCAGGTGTGTTGAAGCAGGGAAACAGGTAAAACATGCTGGAAAGTGGATCTTGAGGACCAGGATTGGGCCCCCCTGGTTTAACAGAACTCCTGGGGGATGGTTAGGGCCTTGGAAATCATTTTGTATCCATCTCCTGATTTGTACTTTTCTATAATCTTTGACGATGACCATATTGACCATGATTGATTCATGACCGCAATAAAAGCTTTAAAGATCCCGGGGGTGAATTTTTATCGGCTCTGTGTGTGCCACCTTCATTTCAGATAGAGTACGAGGTAAAGCAGAATACAGGTGTACAAGCTGCTAAGTCAAGGAGATATTTTTACCTCCTTTATCCTCGTCTGAAACTTATTCCTGGAACAGTGAAAACCTATCCACTTAGAGTGCTGTCATCCTATTAGGGCACCGCACACTTTGGTCTTCTAACTCTGTTCGATGAATTTATTAATGCACACACAAAGATGGCGGCACATTAGTGTGAGCAGAAATAAACTAAAGAACATCTATTTAAATGTTTGTGGAAAATCTGGAGGAAGATGAAATCAAAAGCAGTCGGAAAAGTCTTTTCATTGGCTGTTTGTCATGTGATACATGCATGAAGGGGTGCTTATTCAAGGTGTGTGTGATTTCAGGCCCAGTCGTAGCAGGCGTAGTGGGCCTAACGATGCCTCGTTACTGTCTGTTCGGAGACACCGTCAACACAGCATCGCGAATGGAGTCCACGGGGATGTGTGAGTGTCTTGTGTTCTTTCTGTTATCCTTTTTTCTTTTTGGTTATACTTCTTTTTTAAGTGGAGCGTGCTTCAGGACAGGCCTATGGCACGTTGACTGCATGCTGCTCGAGGTTAAACAGGGTTTTAAAAGAGCAGCGCTCACTAATCCCGTAACACTGTCATTAGAATTAAAGATTAGGTTGAAGTTGTAGAATAAAAGACAGTAGCTATCAATTTTCTTTGAGTCGTCAACTGTCAATTTTAGGGAACAATCGCGACGTAAAGTCTTTCGTTGTGGTTTAAAATAAACCTGACATTTTTTCTCTGAGGAATACATCTTATAAATATGTGTTCTTGTATTTTCGGTCTCTTTTAGTGTATTTTACTGTATTTTCAGTCATAAGTGAACATTAAAAGTTCATAAATTATTGCTGCCAAGAGCAGAGCTGTAACGAGTAATGTGCTGCCTTCAAGTGGTGAAACATCACATTACAGCCAAGCTTCTGTCAGCTTCCTGAAAACCTCAAAACAATCAAAGACAGCCTTTTTGTTGAGCTGACTTTTTTTTTTTAATTTTGCACAGCTTACAGAATCCATGTCAATCAAACCACAGTTAAGCTCCTGAACAGCTTGCAGATGGGATACAAGATCCAAGTCAGAGGCCTGACGGAGTTAAAGGTAACTAGAAAGAGAACAGAACCCATGTGCAGCCTTTGCACTGACTGTGTTATTAATGAACACAAATGATGATCTGATTTTAGGGGAAAGGCATCGAGACCACCTATTGGTTGGTGGGGAGGGAGGATTTCAACAAGCCTTTACCAAATCCTATAGACAATAAAGAGTAAGACATTTCTTTTCCTTCATCAAATGGAGTTACCCTGGTTTAATCATTGAAACGTATCCAAGCGAAATATGCTTCTGATGATTTTATCGCAATTTAATGTTGACAAAACCTTTATTTTTTGTTCTGTTACAGTGGCATAAATCATGGTGTGACTATAGAAGAGATCCCAGCTGACAGAAGGCAGAAGTTCCTGGATCGACAGAAGAAGACAAACTAGTCTGTGGTTTAGAAATTTCGGGAAGATGTGTGTGATAGAAAGCAACAGCAACAAACAGAATTTGCACAACACTCGCAGCTATGCTCACAATCAGTGGATTTTTAGGACTGTCAAAAAAAAAGAGACACATTTTGAATTTAAGTTTACGTTTCACAACAAAACCAGATTAAAACTTTAATGTCTAAATTCAAAAATTTACCAGGAATTAGCCACCGTCAGTTCTGTGTTTGAACTTTAGTTGGTTTTATACTAAAATACGTAAATACAGTATAATCTGATCATCAAAGGTGCGTTAAAATGTGTGTTTGTTCGAGTTGTGAGTAACTGCCGTTGTGTTTCCTGTCATTTCTGCATATTTACTAAATTATATTCAGTGTGGAGGAAAATCTGTCATGAACTGTAAGACAAACTGTAGTTTGTTCTTTTTAAAAAACAATTTAAATACTATCTAAAAAAAAATTTGAAAAAAAAACAACCATGTTATAATTTGTCCACTGAACCTTTGTAGCCATAGATCAGATTTTTATGGTGTGAAAAGGTTATGAACAATGAATGTCTTACCTGTTTAAGATTTCTATTTAACCAAACTCAGTTTGGAGAAATGGAGTTTGATTGACAGATTCAGAAGCTAATTTGTTCCTAGATCAAATAATATTACTGCCATCTCAAAATAAGTCCATTTTAAAAGCAATTTATGAAAACACAGTTTTACAAACCAATACATAGCTGCCAGTTTTGCATTATACAGTTATTCCCATTGAAGTATTACAGTATTCCAACTGGTCATGCCCCAGGCTGCACCGGGAGTGTGACGGTTTTTTGTGTAAATAACTGCAGGATTTTCTGTAACACAAAACTGAGTTTATCAAATAAAGTTTGCGTGAGGTGCTGCAAAGCTCTTAAGGCTGCAATTGCTTTAGGATGGCAGATTTCTCACTTTAGAGCACGCTCAGATTAGCTGTCAATCTACTCAAAATCAATCTGTGATTCTCCAAACTCAGGCCATTTAAAGAGCTATCTACAACAGGTAAGATATTGTTCGTTTTTCACCCCACTTCACTAAATCTGAACTATCACTTAGTCCCAGGTAAGCATTGGCTCTAAGGATGCTGTAACCAAAAAGTGTGTGTTGTTTTCATGTTGTTGTCGTCACAAACGAGAAAACGATGAAACAAAACCGCAACGACTGTTCAGATGTTTTCTCTGTAGGTTTCACCGACGCTCCGTCAGCAGCCATCCATGTTCTGCATGTGTGCTCGTTCAACACCATCTCATAACTTATCTGAAATAATATGTCTGGTCTGCACTGACGCAAATAATTTTAGAGCCAATTAGCTGATCTTGTGCTTCAGCAGATCGAGCGTTTTACCTGCAAATCATCATCGTTTGGAGAGCAACGCTCATCTGTCGGAGCTCTTAACCCACTAACTCACGTTTGGGTTTTCCAGAACTCCAATCTTCCAAGTCACTTTTCTTGGGCTCTGGTTTTTGTATATACTGTAAATTTGTATATTGTATCCAAAGATTTTAGAAACTTTTTTGTTTTTCTTTCAGCTCGGGTTTCTCTAACAGAACAAACGCAGGACTTCAGTACCATTGTGTTCAAAAAGCAAGCGGTTGTATTGTTGGCTTGCTAAATGTCTGCCGCAGGACTCATGTTGAAGCAACAAGAGGCAGACGACACGAGGGTGTGATTTAACACTAAAAACAGGCTGCAGACCTGTTTGTATTTTTATTTTTTAAACGTGGCAGCTTGCTGTCGATCACTTACAACTTATCCAGACTTGTTGCTGTAGCTACTGACCTAAAAAAAATGGGACGTCTGACGACTTGATTATCAGGTTGCTTGTGGTGTATTCTTTCACACGGTTATCTGTTTAGCAGTTTTGACTCTTCGAGCATAAACCCATGACCAAGAGGACATGCATGGTCCTGAACTAAGAAGAGCAACTTAAAATAAGCTACGTTTCTGTCATTGATGGGTATTTAAAGAACAAAATGGCTAATCCTATTTAATAGGCGCTACTGTACTTCTTTTTTTTTTTTTTAGATTTATTAACAATTTGCCAAACAGATAGATCACATCAAAACTGAATGGGGTGCATTGTTCGTTTTGAAAGTGATCTCAGTGTGTTTCTGTAAATAAATGATGGTTTTAGTGATGGTTGTGTCTGTTTCGCTGCCTGCCATCAATTCAGTCTGCTAAATGGTGGTCTGACAGTACTGGTATACTGTGTTACATTTCCCAGTGAGTGAATCAGGAAATACAAAGTTCAGCAAGTGAAAATGGCTGAGAAAGTGGAACTGTTTCACCCATCAAGTAGATCCCTTACAGCAAGCTTTAGCTGACATCTTTCGTCACTGTTTCATGCTGACGCTCTAAAGTGTTGAGCTTTTAGACTTTTTTTTAATTTATTTTATAAAACTAGTAGAAGAGCAATAAAACAAATCAAACCAAAGACTGGCCGTCATCGGCAGATGAAAAGCTGAAGAAGTCCACTGCAAGAAAATCAACGCAATTGCATTAATAGTTATTTTTTAACAATCAACCTTTCTGGAGATGAGAATCTGCTTTAGGAGTTTGTGGTTTTACTGCTGACGAGAGCGCACGTGGCACTTTCTCTGGCACTTGGCACACCGTTGTCTCTACTTGACCCTTTCAGGATTAAAGAAAAAACATCTGAGATCATTAAAATTACACTCAGGCAGGGCCTGGAAAGTTCATTCAGAATGATATAGTTATGTTTTGGTTTGGAGAAGCATTTAGAAACACGATATAAATAGCATTTAATGCATCATTAAAAATATTTCCATTGGACAAGTACAAGTACCACAGGCTGTGCTTAGAGGGTATATCAATATCAAACAAACTTATTGACTGTCTTAATTTAAACTGGGATGTAAAGCTCAAAAGCAGAAACAGCCAAGAAGATTTAAGTTTCAACCAAATTACTATCTTGGTTCCAAATGGAATTGACTTAAAGCAAAGTGGCGATAAAGAGTATTTTGAGGACCCATGTAGAAACTGGAGTGGATGATGGTTCACCGCAATAGTGGCTACTAAAGCAGCACCAGTGACAATTCTAGAAGACCAGTTGGCAACAAAAGGTGCAAAACAATATGGAAAGTTGATACAGCTATCCATTCTTTTCCACTTGTTCCGGAGTCGAATTGTGGGGGCAGCAGCTAATGCAGGGAGGTCCAGACATCTCTTTCCCTTGTCAGCTCTTTTGGGCGAACCCCAATGTGTTCCCAGGCCAACTGAGAGACAGGCTCTCCAGTGTGTCCTCTGTCTTCTCTGAGGTCTCCTCCCAGTTGGACGTGCCCATGACCTCTCTAGGGAGGTGTCCAGGGAGCATCCTTACCAGATGCCCCAACCACCTGAACTGGCTCCTCTGGATGTGGAGGAACCGTGGCTCTACTCATCGTCTCTTCTGGATAAATGAACTTCTCAACCTCTCTCTAAGGGACAGCTCAGCCTCCCTCAAGAGAAAAATTATTTAGATCCTTTGTATCCACAATCTCATTATTTTAGTTTTTACCCAGAGCTTGAGGCTGTAGGTGAAAGTAGGAATGTAGACCCTCAGATAAACAGAAAGCTTCTGCTTGCAGCTCAGCTCCCTCTTCATCACAACAGACCGGTACAGAGTCCACAATACTGCGGAAGCTGCACTAATCCGTCTGTCAATCTCAGGCTCCATTCTTCCCTCACCCATGAACAAAACCTCAAGATACTTGAACTCCACAACTTGAGGCAGACACATGATGTCATGGACAGAAGCAGAAGGTATATGCCTTGGCACTCTGACGCTGCCAAAGCAGGTTCTTTGGAAATTTCATTCAAGTCATCAGAAATTTGTATAAAGTTGTTGAGGGGCAGAAGAAGATCCAAGACCGTCATGTATGTGGTGCTGTTCTCAGCAATTAATGCATGAAACCATCCCATCATAAACCATGTCCATGTCCATCCTAAATCCAACCAGTGTTGGGTGTGTGTTCCCTCAGACTCAGTCCAGTTCTAATAACAGTTTGGAGTCAGGAGGTAAAAGCACAGCTTGTCAAACTAGATCCCATCTTCTTCCTTTACTCTACAAGTTCCTTTGTAAAGTTCATTAGAGTTATTAAGTTTATTAAGTGATAAAGTGTTTTCAGGTTTGTTCTGGAACACATTTTCAGTAGACCTCCAGTTCATCATGTGTTAAGTCATTAGGTGCCCTCACCAAAGAATGAGCAAGCTACCGATGATCAGACACCGATGATGAGTGTCCCTTGGCTAGATGGGTTAGATGAAAAAGTAATTTTTGGATAAAGAGGCTAGATTTGGTTTTAGGTTTGATCAAAGGCTTACCAATGTTTCAGCTTTAACCAAGATGATAAATGGTAAATGGTACTTACAAAGCTCTTTACACTACAATCTGTGTCCTCATTTACCCATTCATACAACACTCTACTAGATCTCTACAAAGAAGAATCAGAGCTTTATCACATTCGTACACTGATGGGACACACATCGGAGGCAATAAGAGGTTCAGTGCTTGTCCAGGAACACTTCAGCATGTGACTGCTGGTGGAATCAAACCCCCAACTCTTGCATTGGAGGATGACTGCTCTAACCACTCAGCCACAGCCGCCCCACTATATACAAACCGGATTCCAAAAGAGTTGGGACACTAAACAAATTATGAATAAAAACTGAATGCAATGATGTGGAGGTGCCAACATCTAATATTTTATTCAGAATAGAACACAAATCACAGATCAAAAGTTTAAACTGAGAGAATGTATCATTTTAAGGGAAAAATCTGTTGTTTCCAAATTTCATGGTGTCAACAAATCCCAAAAAAGTTGGGACAAGTCCATTTTTACCACTGTGTGGCATCCCCCCTTCTTCTTACAACACTCAACAGACGTCTGGGGACAGAGGAGACCAGTTTCTCACGTTTAAAATAGGAATGCTCTCCCATTCATGTCTAATACAGGCCTCTAACTGTTCAACCGTCTTGGGCCTTCTTTGTCGCACCTTCCTCTTTATGATGCACCAAATGTTCTCTATAGGTGAAAGATCTGGACTGCAGGCTGGCCATTTCAGTACCCGGATCCTTCTCCTACGTAGCCATG